GTTGTTTAAAACAATTGCCTTAGGGAAGGAAAAATATCATTACTTTGTATTATCCCACACTGGGATTAAGGAAGCCCTGAGGGATATGCACTTTCACTAACAACTGCTAGTAGTTACACATGGATACACAGCTGTCATTATTAAGCCACAAGGAGCAAGAGGTCCGTTCCTTCTGTTTTGAGAAAAAAATTTGGTCTTATGTGCAAAGTACAAAAGCAGTAGAAAATTAATCATGGGGGAAAAATATGAAATATTTACTATTCAGTAATGTTCAGAAAAGCTGTCAGAGTCCTTGACTGCTTGATCAAAAGAAACATATAACATTTATATTATTTATATTCATTGCAAATATGTCTACAGCTTACAAGTAAGAATAACATATTTGCTCACTTTTGTTTATACTGTAATTCTGTCATATTTATTGTTTCAGTTGTACTCTCTTAAAGAATACCACTGAGCAAGGTAGGTTTATATGAATAATTGTTTACAGTAAATCACTGAAATGTCTTCAATTTTTGGTTCTAACCTCAATTAGATATATAAGACCAAACTATAATTAGATATCCAAGCAAATCTAGCTCACCATGTAAGAAAGTATTTGCTCCCTTAATTTATGTAAGTGGTTGTGTCACACTTGGCAGTAACAACTGTAATCAAGCGTCTATGACTGTTGGTATTTTATTTCGCCATGATGGAAAGTTTTCTTCACAAAACTGTTTTATTTCAGCCAACCAGTTGAAAATAATGAGTTGTGTTTTTACATTAATGTTCTGTTCATGGTCATAACCAAGCATCTTATTTAGATTTAAGTCTAGGCTGACTAGACCATTACTGAATTATTCAGAGAGGGACTTGCTGGTATACTTTGGATCGCTGTCCTCCATTATGATTCACATCCACTTGGGCCTTAAATGAAAAACCAATATTCAGAAAATCTTCAGATTTTGTTTCCTTCCACTAGAATTTTCTAATCCAGAGCAGAACAATCAATTAAGGTAGGTAGTCAAGGTCTTCAGAAGAAAAGCTTCGCCTAAGCTGCATAACTTGCTAAGAGTTCCACTTTTGTGAAATGAGTCAATTAAATCTTTTGACCTTGGAATTTACCCATCAGTGAACTAAAATGAAGCAAGTCAAGACTACAGCTCTTCAGTTGTTCTAGGTGATTTTGTGACCTCCTGGTTGAGGCAATAATTTGATTCTGGAGTGATCTTGAAATGCAACTGTTGCATGTTATATCCATTTTTGGATACTGGCCCTCATTGGAATTAAAAAGGTGTAAAAGTGACTACCAAACCCATTCCACACTAATACTTTAACAGCTATCTAAATTTCATACTTTATGAGACCTCTTCTTCATGGTTTAGCTTGTCATTAAGCCAATTCTTCATTAAAGATTTGGCAATTGCTGATTTTTTGAAAAAGGTCCAGGTTGTTTTACCATGTGAGGGAAAACATTTTTTTAACTTTATGGATCTGATCAGCTTATTTTTATCTGACAAAATTTAAAACATTTAAATTAGGCAAAAAAAAAAAAAATCAACCCAAAACAATTAGAAGTCTTTAAGGAGGTAAATACCTTAAAGACAAAGTCCTATATGCTGACCTTCATCCTTTTAGGGAGACACATATGAGTCCATCCTGCTAATAAATAGAAGCGTTTACATTTTCCTGCATTTATTCAACCGTACAGGAAAAGGTTAATGCAGGCAGGATAATGTCAGAGCCCCTAAGGCTTTGATCTGTGAGTACAATATTTCAATATTTAACCTTTAGCTTGGAGACTTAATTAGGTTTCTGTTTGCAGTAAAGGGAATAAAGGAGGAAGCGAAACTGCTGGTGATTTGTAACCTCTGATCACAAAACCTTGGTGGATGCACACAAAGAACAAAAACAATTCAACATTTTCACAACAGGCCAAAAAAATAACCACTTAGGAGACCAAAGAAAAAAGAGACATTGATTGAATATCACAACTACTTAAAAGAAATTAGGCTCTTTTATTTGTGTCCTTAACTTCAAATGCTGCTGCTACCTTCTAAACAAAAGGTGTTTAAAGGCTACACATCTCTGCACTGAGATAAATAGGAAGTGAATCAGGGCTGCTTCTCAGTCATTGTTTCTGCTTTCTTGTCGACAAAATGAATGAGAACACCAATAGCGTCTTTAAACTTTACCCAAGAAGAGTTTTGGAAATAGAGCTCCATGAAATGGACTTCCCATCTCCTGAGGAAAAAGGCAATTTCATGCTCCACCACGACTCAGGGGAAGTTCTGCAATGAAGGTCGCTTCAAGGTTAACAGCGTAAACTTAAGGAATTTTGTCAGAGTTCAACAGAGCAATTACAGCTGTAAAAATCTTAAGGGTGTTATATAAAAATGGTCTTTAATGACCCAAGATTGAAGCACTGCAGAGGGAATCTTCCAAGGGGTATATGTTCAGGACGAACAACCTTTTGCCAGCTGAGTTGCGCTAAGCTGCTCTTCTTGATGTTGATACTAATGACTAAGAGGGTGTGAGCCTGTTTCTAGCCTTCTAACTCAACTAACAGGGAATATGTTATATCCAATTAGCATCGAAGGTGCATATTTTTTGTAGGTTAGAATGAGGTTCCTCTGCAAACAAGCAGCACAAATCCCTGTCCCCAACCTTCAGACTATTTGCAGTTATGATTTTGTTTCCAATACTTTTGGCTTTGGAATGGTTAATCATCTAATATACCTGCTTCATGTCACAAGTTTGAGAGAAAAGTATTAAAATAAATATTTGGATATGATCCTGTTTGATTAATAACTCATTTCATTAAAATGTTATTTTGCTGGTTAGAAACAAACAAAAGAAAACAAACGTCCTACAGAATTAGTTAATGTTTTAATACCTCTGAACTTTTCTGTTAAGGGTCTATTAGTAACGGGGTTTAGCTGTGACATTTAGTCTCTGTATAAATAAAGGTACTTGCTGAAGCCATCAGCTGTTCCTTAGAGAGGATTAGTGAGCAAACAGCATTCTGAAGAGCAAAGAACACAACAGACAAGTTGGATTGTGGAGGAAACTACAGCTTAGGTGAAATAATTTGTTGACAAGACAGCTTTTAGCTGTGCACTCCCCAAGTTTGTCCCTTATGAAAGGACAGCAATAAGAAAGCCAATGATAGACAGCTATGTAAAATCCTGTTGGTTCATCTGCAGATCACCCCTTAACAAACAATCCCAACAGTGAAACATGGTGTGTGAGGCATTATACTGTGGTGATGCTTTGCATTAACAGGGAGAACGAAGCTTGTAAGGATGAGTTTGGGTTGAAAGTGATAAATGATGAAGCCTTCACTGCAGCCTTAAATATAAATATGCTACCATAGCATACAATGGTTAAGATCCAAACATACCCTTCATTGTAACAATGAGAGATTTGGTGCTAGATCCAAATAGGAGTTTGTAAGAAAATTAAAATGTATTTTCTCAAACATGTTCTTCCTGTTTGATTATTTTTTAGCCATTTCACAAAGAGGAATGTGAGAACATGTCATTATCTAAATAAGTAAAAGAAGATGGAACATATGCTTGTGAAGGTTCTCAGTCATCCAGGTCAGTGTCATTAAAATAAATAAATAAATAAAAACAATCCACTGGACTTGTTTTCCAAGTTTGAATTGGAAGCCAAATTTGGAAACCAAGTCCAGTGGATTGTTTTTATTCATTTTTTCATTGTTTTAATAACAGATGGAACATAATTAATATCAAAAGACCTGAAGCAGCATTTGTAGCAGCAGAGGATTCTAAAAAAAACTACTGATTCAATGAAATGTGAAATGGATAAAGATGCATTTTATTTGAAACTTACCTATTACTTTCTCAAAACACTGCAATCATGCACCTAACCTGTACACACATAGCTACATAAAATATACTTGAGAAAACACCCAAATGTTGGGTTATGGTCTAACACAATGTGAAAATGTTTAAGAGCATGGATGCATTTAAATAGCATCAAAAATGTGTGTTTCATAGAATGTGCTAACATGTTGTTATCTTGAAAGATATAAAATTATGTATAAACAAATATTTCAATTATAACTGCTGTGCACATGTACATCACTTATATATTAGAGAAGTATGTTCAATTCATGCTTAAAGTCAAGCCAATTTGTCTAACATGAAATGTTTTTTTTAAATTGTCAGCACTCCCTGATATTACATTTTTACTCTTTTTACAGCTATATTTGTTGGTTCTTTGATAAATTAAGATATTTATTTTACTAAGTTTTTCTTTATTTTAATTATGTTGTGGTTATTTATATTTTCTGTTCTAGTGATTTATCTAATCAAATTTATATATATATATATATATATATATATATATATATATATATATATATATATATATATATATATATATATATATATATATATATATATATATATATCAGATTGGTTTTCAATGCCTGAATAGCAATTTGACTGAAACGACTTTAAACAAATTGTTTTAATTACATCTCAAAGCCAAACACTTTTCTGTAGAAGGACACAAGGCCCTTTTTATGCTGGTGTACTTCCTTCTAGGAAATGCAAGTTATCTCACAAAGCACACACCAGAATATCCAATATATTTTTTTCCCACGAGCCTGGGGGATTAGTGTTTAAAATAATCCAGATGCCCCATATTTTCCAAACAAATCACTGAGTGATGTAACAAATGGATTCCTGCCACTGTGAAGTCTGTGCAGGTTCAGGACCATGGACAGCTCCAAAGGGCACTCAAAATATGGGCGCTCAAAAAATTAACAATTATATATATCCTTCTTGAATGTATATTTTAGTGGAGAAATTAACATGGATAAACTACAAATAAAAGCAAAGATTATTTTACTCAGAAAGGAACATGAAAAACATCCTTTTAACTCCAAAAACATGTTTAAGTTTCAAATAGACGATTGTCTAAAGCTGAACATCTGGGGTTCATTACAATCTGTCAGCATAATGCAAACAAACAAATAAGTGTCTTACATCTTCATCTTCCCGTAAGCACTTTTTCTTGTACTGGACGTGAGCTCGACCCTCGGCTCCTTGGTGAGAGGACTTGGTCCCGTTCTCCTCGTCTGCGACCTGTCCTCCGAGAAGGTGGCTGGCCTCAGGTGGGTGCGGAAACGAATTGTTCGTATTGATCTTCCCGGTGAATCTCTGATACAGCGAAGCCATTGTGAAACGTTTCGGGATTGTTTTACTCCGGATTAAAAACACTTTACTGCATGGCAGGACAACAAAAGTGTCTAAGGTGATTCGTTTTGTGTTAGTTTTTCGAGTGCTTGGGAGATTAAAAAAGAAAAGCGGCAAAGGAGAAGGCAGTTTTACCCCTGGGATGGGGACGTTTGCCTAAAAATTAAGCTTCAGTATTGGTGAAGGACTAAGGAAAGTGGGGAACCGATAATAAGCGGGATCCTTTGTTAAAGTCCGCTTTGCTTTGTCCAGCCACACGGCGGAGGGTCTGTTAAAGGTGTCAATAGTTGTCCTCCTTTGTATTCAGAACACGTTGTCTCCTGTCTTCAGTTTCCTGATGCCTCCTCACAGCCAGATAGGAGGCGGAAGCGCTGAGTTTCCATCAGATATTCGATCCTCAGCAGATTCGGAGGTGCTCATCACAAAAACAAAGCAGTCCAATATAATCATTCGCGTCCTTTGGCTCTAATTTTCCATCTTTGTTCATAAGAGGGAGGGGGAAAAAGTGTGAAGGACGCAGAAAGAGCCCGACGGTATTCTTCGCTGACGCGCTCTGCATGTGAAGTGACCTGATCGCAGAGAGGAGCAGCTCTTGCTGTCTGGGTTTGCGCGCCGCCGAACGCGCAATCACTCATGAATACCTAGGTGTCCTGAATGCTCCTTTATTTTGATGCTCTGCACAACAAATATCTTTCCTTAGTGTTTTTACATTTAGGGTAATTTGATTTACCCCCACTGTACAAAAGATTCCATCTGATCCCGCAGGACGGAGCTCGAGTGCCTCTCAGTGGCGTTATGGATACGAACAGGGTCACCAGACACCTGTAATGGGCTTTGATTTGATAATAGAAACGAATAAATTATAATTGTATGCCTATCTCACACACACATATTGTGTCACGCCATTCTTGTGGGGAAAATCAGTTGTCTTCCATCAATTTCCCTCTCATTTCTATGACCCAACCCTTCCCCTAAGGCACCAGCACATGTCTAAACCTAACCTAAACTAAATCAATACCTTAGTCCTAAACATAAACCCCAGCTCAAAGAAGAAAACCTTACTATATTGGGACCAGCTTGTTACCCATAAGGAGATGGGTCCCCATGCAGTGGTGTCAAAAGTACCCACATTTATTACTTAAAGGGGAACACTGTTTTTTTTTTACACTGGCCCCTTGATTTTCATGTTATTACATCATGTTCTACTGACCCATATTAGTTTTGTGTAATTTGGAGCTTTTATGAAGATGTTCGGTTTTGTAATATCCAAGTAACGTCTTCCTAGTCTTCCTATGGGCAATGAGTTGAAGGCATCTTCATAGTTTATTCTTTATGGTACGCCAGCATTCATAACATGTAGGCAAATCACTGTCCCCCAGACATCCACGTCATCCGCGCGCGCCGGCTACCATTCATTGATCCTGTCTGCTGAACTGCTGCTAGTTTTACTCGCATGCCTGGAAGTTGTCGAATGCTACTACCACAGATAGCCGCCTGTGGCCTGGGCTGCCTGTCACAACTCCAGTAAGGCGCGAGGGTGACGTCATAACACACTCTGCTTTGTTTTAAAAATATATAAATATAAAAAATATAACCGCGGATGGGGGACAGTGATTCGCCTACATGTTATGAATGCTGGCATACCATAAAGAACAAATTATGAACAGTTTAGTTTGTGCCTTCAAGTTGTTGCCCATAGGAAGACGTTACTTAACTCACATCATTACGGCATTAAGACCTTAAGTGGAGAAGCAATTGAGATTGTGTCCTGTTACAAGTACCTGGGTATCTGGATAGTCTTTCACAACACATTTAGATAATATGTTAAAAAAGCTGAAAGCCCTGCTCGGCTTTTACTACAGACAAAAATCTTCTTTGATTCCCTCAGTGAGGACAAGACTTGTTCAGACCAACTTCCTTCCTGTTCTGGACTATGGAGACATCATATATATGAATGCTGCCTCCTCAGATCTCCACTCCCTGGACACAGTTTATCACAGTGCTTTACGTTTCATCACCAACTCTGCCTTCAGGACTCATCATTGTGTACTGTATGCTCTTGTTTCATGGCCTTCTCTAAGCCCCAGAAGACAACATCATTGGCTTACTTTCATTTACAAGGCCATCCTGGGTAAACTCCCTCCATACCTGTGTCACCTCATGTCTGTAGCTGGTTACAACTAACGCTCTTCAAGTCGTGTTCTTTACACTATTCCCAGGATCAACACAGATCTTGGCAAAACATCATTTTTCTATGCAGCACCATGGTCGTGGCACAATATTCAAAACTCCCTGCAATTACGGACTCTTACTCCGCTACAGCATTTTAAATCACAATTGAAAACCGCTTGCACAGAGAATTGTAACTGTTATTCTAGAGTCTAGTTTATGATTGATTTTATTATGTTGTCCTGTGTTCTTATATGTCTTACTGTACAGCTGCCTCTTGGCCAGGTCTCCCTCGAAAAAGAGATTTTATCTCAAGGGACTTCCTGGTAAAATAAAGGTAAAATAAAAAAATAAAAAATAACCTTACCAAATATCTTCAGAACAGCTCTAAATTACACAAAACTCATATGGGTGAGTAGAACATGATGTAATAATGTAGAATCAAGGGACCAATGTTAAAAGACCGGTGTTCCCCTTTAAGTAGAAGTATAGATGCTCCAGTTTAAAAACACTCTCGAAAAAGTTGAAGTATCATCTTGACCTTTTTACTCAAGTAAAAGTGAAAAAGTATGTGCTTCAAAAACTACTGAAAGTATAAAAGTATAAAGTAACCTTTAAAATACCAAGCCAGATGCCACTATATGAATTGAAAGCTACATTTTTTGACTATTTCTTAAATTTCTTTGAGATAGGGCCAAGGATGAGGGAGGTCTTGTTGGTCTCCATCTCCATCTCGCGATACTCTCTTGCCTGTGTACGACCTTTCAGACATTTCAACATCTTTCTCTGAGTCCCACATTTTAGCATGGCTTAGATAATTCACGTTTGCAGTTTGAAGAACACCTGCTTGCTTCTGATGATTTCCTTTATCTAACCAATGAGTGTTTGCATTATATGACTCATCCAATTACACTAGTTTTCACTAGATGTGGATGGCGCCAATGACCTGCATTGGATGGCGCACATGATGTGAGATAAATATTTATAAACATTAAACCGAAGCCAAGAGTAACAAGTAACATTTGTTTTAAAAATGTAAGGACTAGAAAGTACAGATACTTGTGTGAAAATGTAATGAGTAGAAGTCAAAAGTAGGAAGAAAAATAAGTAATGGAGTAAAGTATAGATACCTAAAAAGTGTACTTAAGTACAGTAACAAAGTATTTGTACTTTGTTAATTGACACTTCTGTTCTGTCCCCATCTGAACATATAAACAGATTTAAGTCCCCACACATGATGAAAACAAGTCCACACACTCATATATACATACGAATACACACCCACATATATATTCATACGTATATCCTTGGAGGATTTTAACTAAAGAAGGAAGTTTTATCGCCATTAATGATGTTGCGTGAGATTCAGCTGAGGTGTACTTTGGCATATATGCTCACAGAAAAAACGTGAATCTGACCAAAGTAATAATAATAGATTAAACAACATCTATGAAAATTACCAAATGAAAGTCCGACATTTCTTTTCAAAAATGCTTCAGCAGAATTATTCAGAAAATAAACTCACAAAACAAGTCTTGGTTAAAATGCTGGTAACCCTAGAAATGACAGAATAAAATTGACCAAAGGGACATTTATATTCAAGGTGTGTCCACTTATTACACTTGCAGGTGCCTCTAATCAGTCAGTGGGGTGATATATAAGGCTACAGGTCACTGTGCTGTTTAGTGATACATTGTGTACCACACTCAACATGGACCAGAGGAAGCAAAAGAAAGAGTTGTCTCAGGAGATTAGAAAAAAATTATAGAAAAGCATGTTAAATGTAAATGCTATAAGACCATCTCCAAGTAGTTTTATGTTCCTGAGACTACAGTTGCACATATTCATAAATTTTATGTAGCCATCCTCTCTAGTCGTGGCCGGAGTAGGAAAATTAATGATATATCAAAGAGATGGATAATAGGAATGGTTACACAAGAGTGTGAAAAACATCTAAAGAGATTAAAGGTGAACTTTAGTCTGCAGGAACACCAGTGTCAGATTGTAGCATCTGTCATTGTTTGAGCCAAATTGGAGTTAATGGGAGCTGACAAACTACACATTGACAAAACACAAAGATTCTGGGCTAATGTCGTATGGAGAGATAAGACAAAAATTAAAAATAATTAAGCTAACACATCAGCTTTGTCTTCACTGATGGAAAAATGAAAGATATTAATAAAAGAAAACTTTTTTTATTGTGAAACAAGGAGGCGGCACTGTTATGTTCTGGGGATGCTTTGCTTCATCAGCACTGGGTGTTTAATTCATGCAAGATACAATAAAACCTCAAAATTAGGTTAACACCACCATAGCAAACATTTGCATTCATTTCCTTACTTAATTTCCTTAAATGAGAACAAGTTGTAAAAAATTAAACAGCACCAAGAAGATCAGGAAACACACCAATGAGGTCAGGGATAAAGCTATTTAGAAGTTTTAAACAGGATAAGGTTCTTGAAAAATATCCCAAGCTTTAACAATATTCCTCTGAACATCTCACTGAAACCTATTGGGTCATCGTGTATAAAGTAAGGACACAAATCCAAATCTGAAAATATAGCTCCGGAACCTAAACTAACAGTTTGGAGAGGGAGGGCATTAATTAAAGACTTATTGAAACTCTGAAAGAGTTTCAGAGATCTACAGTTCAGGCCGGAGAATCTCTCTACAGGAAAGAAATTGAAATGATGGTGTTGATTGAAAATGTGGCATGAAGGAAGCCATTGTTAGGAGAAAGCAAAACAGCCCCTATTTGATGATTGTAAAAAGTGTGTAGGGGACATTTGGAAGAAAATCTTCTGGTTAGATAAGACTACCTTAAAATGCACATTATATGTGGTAAAAAAGGATCATGGAGCAACTGCAAACTGTGAAAGAAATCTAGTGAAAGCTGATGGGACAGTGGGTGGATGTAAGTAAAGGGCAACTCCTGGAAGCAAAGCTGTTACTGCAAAAAAAGTAGAGATAAGGTTCATCCTGCAGAAGGACAACAATCCTAAACGAGGAGCTACAGTGAAAAAATTTAAGAAAAAAATTCCATTTGATTGAAAGACCCAGTCAAAGCATAGACCCCAGTCTATAGGAGACTGTAACAAGACTTAAAAAACAAGGTTCATAGATAATCTGCATCTGACCTGAATGAGCCTTGGCTGATTTGCAACGAAAACAATTCACTAATTTCAGGACCTGGATATAAAAAGCTGTATGAAATACCTTTGCAAAAGTCTTTGGAAAAGGTACTTCTACAAAATATCAACTCAGGGAGGTAGAATGTAAATGCATGCCAAACTTTTCAGATTTTTTTATTTGTTAAATATTTTGTAAAGCAAAGCTTATTGAGATGTTGTGATTGAAGCAAATGTGTTTTTTACAGAACTGAGTCAGGGTGGACACTTTGCTGGTGGGTTTAAAAAAATTTACTCATGTCAGAACGATGCATTTTAAAGTATCTCACAATTCCAACATATTGAAGTTTGCAGTTGTAACA